AATGTTAAGAAAATCTTTGACTTTCCTTTAGTGACTTTTTCGTTTTTTTTTTTCTGATTAATGACTTTTTTGAACAAACATAATACTTGTTCTTTTTTTTTTAGTCACGTGCGGTTTATAATTTTTCTGGTGAAATTTTTTTTGCCCAGTTTTCATTTTTTTCTTTGTTTTTTTTCATTATAAACAATAAAAATTAAACTAATATAGGTTGTTGCCTTTTCTCTTGTTTTAGTTTGAGTTTTTGGAAGTTTTATATAATAAGTTTTTTTTTTAAGTAACGTTATAGGAATATTTTTTAAAGGTTTTGGTTTTAAGATATTTTCCTTTTTTAATTTTTTTGGCTTTTAAGAAAAATTAGGATATTAAAATATTTGACACATGTCATCATCTGATGAATGATAGCCACATGTCGCGATTTGGTGCTTAAGAATTTTGCTTATGTGTCAAGCTCTCATCACGCGTATTTTCTTTTATATAATAATATAATGTTCCAAATATTTTTAGATATTTAATTGACAAAATTTTGATATCTTGCATATTAAATTCGATTAAAAATATATTTAATTATTTAATCTCACGCTTGGCGTAGGTCAAAATCTAGTTCAATTTAAAAGACCAAGAAGTGAGAAAATTGATAAAATGTGATTGCAATTAGCTGAACATATATATTAAAAATAGGCAAAACTTTTGTTAAATATGCATAGATTTTTAGATTGTACATGAACACATCATATCAATTATGAGACTCAGATACAAAAAATCCATCACATTGTAAATTTGTAATCCACAAATTACATTCTTATGTTTGTTTATTTTCCCAAGAAAAAATTGATCAATTCCCTGATTTATCATTTACTAGATTTTAACCCACGCCAAGCGTGGAATTAAAGAATTAAATAGAATGACTAATCAATTTTAATATATACAATTTTTTTAATATTTAAAACATGTATGACAAAACATATAATCTATATATAATCTATAATTAAACGTAAAAATGATATGTATTGTGCACAAAGTTGAATATTTTTGATCAAGCCATGAGTTTTAATTTTTTATGTGTAAATTGATTAAAATCTATGCAAATGTTATTTATTTTAATATATTTTTAAGTGTAAATTGATCTTTATTATTCGTGTAAATTATAGAGCATACGATAAATCAAATAAATCTTATATTTATATGAACTTGTCAGACATAACAAAGAAAACACAAAATATATGTTTTTCAGTAATAAAATAAAGAAATATTTGTAAATTTGATTAAACATGTATAATAGACTACATCATAATAAAAACTATATTTATAATACAATAATCTAAGAACATATATACACAATATATAATATGTTTATAAATATAACTATAAAAATATTGTCAATATATCAGAAAAATATATTGCTATAGATGATATGATAAATCATAAGTATTACATTTAGTTGGGTTTAAATTTGGAAAACATGTATTAATAGGGTTTTTTATTAAATAATGAAAATATGTAGAGAATGTGACCATAACATATAAATTTAATTGAAATGTTTTAATTGGTTAAATTTAATGTTATATCCTTTGAAATCCTTATTGAATGACACATAGAATTGTTCCACTCAGTATCTCCTCGATTAATATACAGAGGATTATTTCCCACCAAATCTATTTTTTCTTCCTTTATCAACGCGTTTTGCAATCTCAGAAACATATTAAGCAAAAACAAAATATAGACAATAAAGTTTTTTCCAAAACTGAAAACACGTAGAATCTTTTTTCATCACACGTTACGCGGAATGTCCTCGCTATAAATAAATTACATGCACGGTGAAGAAACAAACTCGAAAATCTCAATCTTACTCGTTTATACAAGAATCAAAAGAGAGAGATCTTGAGACTTGAGAGAAAGATTCATAACAAAAAAAAAATGGCGATCGTGAGCCCTAACTTTTGCGCACCGTACCCGATAGAGTTGGGAATTGTACGAAAGGTAATGACGATAACAGATGGTAACTTCGCCGTCACAGACGCTAACGGAAATCTCCTGTTCAAAGTCAAAGAGCCTTTGTTTAGTCTTTCCGACAAAAGAATCTTATTGGACGCATCGGATACTCCAATCTTAACTTTGAAAGAAAATGTAAGAAAATACATATTTGTTTGTGTTTTTTGGTTATTGTTTAATTAGATCCATATTGTAACCTTTTTTTTGTCAAATTTTGTTTGATTTATGTAGAAGGTGAGCTTGCATGATAGGTGGCAAGTATTTAGAGGAAAAAGCACAGACCAAAGTGATTTGGTTTACACATTGAAAAGATCGTCGATGATTCAATTGATGAAACCAAAACTCGACGTTTTCTTGGCTCATAACAAAGAAATGAAAGTATGTGACTTCCATGTTAAAGGAAGTTGGATCGACCGGTCATGTGTCGTCTACGCCGGAAAATCTGATGCCATTGTTGCTCAGGTAATCAATATTTTTCATCAATAACCGGTCCAATTGAATATATAAAACTATAAACCGGACTATGACCGATTGA